CGTTTACACGTAACTATTGATAAGTATAATGGTAAATGACTTTTAATTAATGAATAGATAATGATTCATGAAAAGATTTCGATGTTCTATTGAAAGTAGAGATGTGAGTCAATTGACTTAGCTGTCAACAATTCCAGTCAATAGTTGCTACAAATTTCAGTGGTCGATGTCGCAAAATAGAAATGGATCAAAGACTTTTGCCAATCTTCGACATTCATGATCAATTTTCAGATAATGTTCTTTTCCAGCTTCTTTTTATTATTCTCCCCACATCATTTCCTTTATGTTTTCATTTTGAAATTCTACGGAGCTGAGAACATTTTGCAAACAGCATCAAAAAGTTTCTGTCACTACCAGCAGAGGAGAAAAGTTGCAATAAATTGAACCGCCAACTTTTACATCGGCTTACATCTCGAATTGGAAGTACTAAAGAAAGTATGTGGAATTTCTTTAAAATGTTCATTTGTTTTATGAGCGTGCTGAAGTATTCATCAAAATACTTTTATTATAACACTTGGAAAAGCAAGTTTGACTTTCTCGACATTGGTTGTATTGAACTATTTTATCATTTAAATTGATCGTTTTTTTGAGAAGAAGTATTTGAATAGAAATGATTTATTAATCTACTATTGCAACAAAAGGTACCTCTTTCATTGAATATTACATATCAATTCAACCAATAAATTCTCATTAAAAACTGATCGATGTAGTTGTATCCATTAAAGATTCAGCTATGTATTCTAAGTCAAATAGAAACATAGAATGAGTGTTTTTATATGTATTTATCTAAATGTCAACAAGATATTCTTAGTGAAACACTTGAATTAGAAATGTCTTTTTTAATGAATCGAACAAATTTAATGGTGTACAAATAATTTACATTCAAATCATTGGCATATATTTATAATGATTTGTAATCAAGAAATATAAAAATCTAACTGTTCATCGAATAACAGTTATTTTAATTGCTTGGATTGGTTGTTGTTCTATGAAGATCAACGAGTTTTATCTTGCTCAATACGATTAATGATTATTTTAGCTGGGCAATCTTGCTCTAGAAATTTTATCGATTCACATGATAATTATTCATCAAATGATGAAAATGTTTTAAGTATTATAACTATACTGGAGTGATTTTATTGATCTTAATTTTTATGAAACTATTAAAGCGAATCTCAATTCTTGTATAATGATTAGTGTGCTAATATTCATGCTATTAATGAATTTTATCTTTGTACTCATACAAACATTTCAAAATATAATTATAGTTTACCATGATAAATTAAAGATATTTTTTATAGAGGAAATTCATATTTTTACGGAAAACTTCAAGTTAATCGAATAATGTTTTGATCTCGACATTATGAAATTTTTTTGTTCAATGGTGATTTAGATTTTAAGTCAGTAATAAAAAGTACACAACAAGTAATGTCAATTAAAATGAAAGGTTTAACTCATGTAACAAATACTCAATCTTATACAAAGAAAGATAAGTTTCAATCAACAATATCTACAGAACAAATTATTGTTCAATTATTATAAGCAACAAGAATGCAATAAAGATTTATGAAATATTGATAATATATGAAATGTCAAAGATAATTTAATTAGAATCGATTGGTTTTATTCAGTTTAGAACTATTAATCAAATAATACATATTCTCTTTGGAAATGCTACATATGATTATTGGGGACGTAATTATACAATCGAATTAATTCAACATTCATTTATTATTCATGACTTTTTTATTTTTAATTTAATCAAATTTTAATCGAAATTAATGAATAATGTTTCAAGTCAGTAAAGATTTAATTGAAAGAAACTAGTTTGTGGAACTCACTCATATATATGTTGTCGAAGAAAATATAATAAGTGGAAGTTTAAATTAAAGTTTTTGCAAATGTCTAGAATACATTTATCAATATTCTAAATAACGCAGTTTCTGATTTTTGCGCAGATTAACGATTATATTCAAGGTATCACAGATGTTGTTTTGATTTCCAAATCTTTGTCATATATGATCAATGCAAAAATATAACCGAATTAAGTTCTAAATTTCGGAACTAATCAATTTCAGTCTTACTGCGTCCATCAAGATATATACAATAGATCGTTACGATTTACTCTAGATATAACGAGTGTATACAACAGGCTTATATGTCCATTAAATTCATGGTTAGACTAACAATAATAAGTCATGACAATTTATTGAAAGAAAACAACAATCCATGTGATTCTAACCGGACAAAAACCGCCGGCATACTGCCGGTAGACCATTCGGTATAATGGTTAAAACTGACAGAATTGACTTAACTTCGACGTCCTTTAATAATGTCGATGCACCTGAGCCGCTTGTACTAGCCACACAGCCCAAATCGGCCCCAGTGCTGAGATAAATTATTTATTATAGAGGGTGCTGCAACATAATTTGTTAGTGAAATATATTATGAAATTATTTTTTTCTAGATGAATTTGTATACAAAGTGCTCTCTGGGGGCATTTATAGTCGAAACCAAAAGTAGTAAGCAGTACCACCGATAAATCGGCGGTATACCGGTGGTACTGTGAATAAATGTACGACATGGGAAAATATATACCATGCGAAGAATAGCAAGACAAATAATAAAAACAAGGGCATCCATCAATAAGAGGATGCGCTAACAAATTTTTCCACATGTACAATATCTTGATCTTATTTCTGATCAATGTCTCTTTCGGAGCACTTTTTGTTAGATTCACAATAGTATAGCTATACGAGTTGATATTACTTTCATTGGAGTTAAATAATTACTTTATGTAGCGATAGAACAAATTTCTACAATTCTAGAGAAATAGTATAGCTACTGAAAAACCTCGCCCAAAGTATAATTTAAATGCTATTAAATATTGGCTCCTCTTATCAGCTACTTGAAACGTTTGGAAAGCAAGTCCTGCTCATTTTTCTTCTTGACAGATATCACACATGGTACATTAACATACCGCCTCTTACTCACACAATCTCCAATGATTACGTGACGTTTTCATTATCTCTGTTCGAAGATACGAAAGAAGAAACTGCCTCTTTAAAGAGCTAAGTAATTGTTTCATTGATAGATAACCACATCAAGTTTGTGTCGATTAAGTTGACCACTTCAACCGGCTGCTACTCCACGCATTTTCAACACCTAAGACAAGAATTTTAACCTGTCGCCGCATCATCTTGAAAACTAAAAATCAGCCGGCGAACTTCGATCAACAAAAATTAACCCGACATCATTCAAGCCTAGCGATCCTCTAAGGATTCTTTCGATTTCTCCTGTAGAATAATAAAAATGCCTTTCCGATCTCCAAAGCACTTTCCGAAGACGTCCTGAGAACATCTGCGGTTTCGCTGACTAGACTCAACATATCCAGCAATGATCCATTAGAAAATATCTACGCAACTCTGAGAGATAAAAAATAAAGCATCCCTTCCATATAGCCAAGACACTCCGTCCTTGCGATCAACTGATACTCGGACATGCCTAAGCAAAATTAAGAATCTAATCGCTGTGTCACTGACTGCTACCCTCTCTCAGCGCTACTCAAGCAGTCAGAAATAATAAATTAACGCGTTGCAATGATCATTATATATTTATTTCTTTCAACACATTACCTTTCCACAAATCTTCGAATTTTCGCGTTTTAACAGTTGATACAATTTTAAATTTAGCATCGTTATTATTAGTGACAACACATGTGCTTAAACGCGTTTTAACTAAGGTTTTTTGTTTTAGTGTAGATTCGACCAAAGAAACTTATAATTATGAAGTAGTCGACAACACTGCTAGACTAAACTTACTTGTTTCTACATGAATTAAATTTTCTACTTAAATTAAACGAAACCTACTGGCATGTACTACACTCTAAAAAAAAGAATTTTTCTACCAAACCCCCGAAAAAGGTTCGGTAGATTTGAAAAAGCATCCAACTGCCTCCAAAGGCTTGAAAAATGATTCTTCAGTTCTATGAAACCTTTAAAGGTTCCTCCCCCGGGTACACGGGAAGAACCTTCTCCTACGAAACCTTTTTTAAGTTCCGTACACCAGAAAAAGGTTTCGCAAGAAAATTCGAAACCTATAGGGTTTCATATTCAATGTCAATGGTTTTTTACTAAACCCCAATGGCTTCGTACTAAACCATTGGCATTGAATATGAAATCCTAAAGGTTTCGTAGAATTGAAGAATCGTTTTTCAAGCCTTTGGAGGCAGCTGGATGCTTTTTCAAATCTACCGAACCTTTTTCGGGGGTTTGGTAAAAAACCTATTTTTTTTAGAGTGTACAGCTATTAAAAATAGTAGAAGCCGACTCATGTGAAAAAAGTCGGAAAAAATCTGTTTTTAATCGATTTTGTTGAGATTAAAAGTCATTAATCCATTTTCGCTTTAATTATCGTTTCTCTGGGTTAATCAATAAACATCACATGATATCGAATCTGGAAGCATCGAATATATATCAATGGTTGATCTAGCATCATACTTACTGTCTCCTGACATAAAAAGATTCTCGCTGTTCTTCTTCTATAGCATTATCGTATCATGTTATTGGCATTGTTCCTTTTCTTTCTATGGAAGAGGTAAAGTATGGAATAGAAGAGAAAGAGAGACACATTCTTTATTGTTTTTTTTTCTCAACTGTGTTTTTTTATGTGGAAGAAGGATCGATAATAATAATAATGATAAAAGGAAAAAAGGCCTAACAAATTGGTGCACTGGCCGGCTTTCTTAATGATTCATTTGGAAAATGTATGTTAACACGGCAGGGTGCATTACGCCTTATCGAAGTTGAATTTCATCGATTAGCTAATATTGATATTGATCTTTCTGAACGTACCGTACCATTTTCTATTGTTTACCGCCCAACAGAATTCAGTATGGCTAAAAAAAACCGTTGCAAACATACTCAGTAAAACTTTAGAACAAATACCGAAGTGTTCTGGCAAACCTGATCAAGACGCTGATGAATGGCTCAAAGAACTCTCTTCTACATTTCGTATGGCAGATATTACTGAATCACAAACATTAAAAATAATACCCACGTTTTTGGAAGGATCTGCTAAACAATGGTTCATCGAAAATAGTACAGCATTTGAATCATGGAATGCATTTAAAGATGAATTTACTCATACATACTCCTCTCCAACAATGAAACAATTAGCGTCACAACAGCTGCGAACTCATCAACAACATATCGACGAACCTATTATTGAATATTACACATATATTATGAAATCATACAAAATTATCGATCCTAATATGACAGACGTATCCAAACATGATCATTTATATCATGATTTAACACCATCTGTAATGAAAGAAGTATTGCATCAAGCTTCATGAACACCATCAGAATTTTGGGAACACGCAAGACGAGAAAAAACTTTAGATCGTTTAGTTACTACATCTGTTAACCAATCACCTGATAATGATAATATTGGAATTAACTCGTTTAGTAATTCATTCCATGGATCTACGAGAATTAATGAACCTATGCACTTTCAAAATTCATCAAGTATGTATTCTGAAGGTTATTCTGCAAATGTTTATTCACCACGAACATTGTATCCTCGATTTCATCATCAATTATTGCCACGTTATTATACCCAGCCTTAAACCTCTTCTTTGAATGCTTTACATCATCATTCACGTCCTTTCCGATTCTACCAATGCAATAAACTGGGCCATTTTGCCCGTGATTGTCGGACTTCAAAAGAATATTAAGGAAGTCCGATGATGGTAGTGCCTCCCATTTCTCGCAACCATCATTATCTTTTCCATCAAGAGCTACTACCCGTTCACCAACAACAAAAACAAAGATCGATTCTCCCAAACCCTTCCTGTATTTCAGATATCGCACAAAACCTACCACATGGATACCGTCGAATTACTATGTGCCAACGCGTAAATTAGTACCTATTAATTATTCTCGATCATATCCGGTTAAAAAAGGTCGAAAAAAAATCTGTTCTCAACCAAAATATTAAACCAACTAATCCTTCATTAATTGTTGTCAATACACTCGTTAACGGGAAATATCTACCACTCATTCACATTAAACATGGATTTTATACTTGGTAGTGATTTGTGTACTAAAAATGCAGCAAGAATCTATTATGATAAAAAATCAAGTTTCTATACGTTCACTCACTGGACGTACAATTATTCCATTGGATAAATCTATTGATTAATTAGCTTTAGATGTCAAACTAATTGATTCAATTAAAATACCTCCACGTGAATCTTGCACTGTCCAAGCAAAACTCGAATTATCATTCGCCGATACAGTTTACTTTCATCCTGATCTTATTACTCAAGTCGAAAAATCTGTTCTAATCTCACCGTCTTTATCAAACATAAAAAATTATACAGAATATTTTAAAATATACAATCCTAATGATTATACACGCTACTTCCCTATGAATACTCTTCTAGGTCAAGTGACACATGCACCGCACCAAGTACACTCGTTTCCATTATTCGATCCGTCTCGTTGTTTTCCGTCGTCAGCTTCTCAACATCATCTTATCAATGTCATTGAACTCGAATATACTCCTTCTACAACCCTTGAAACGATTGATAAATTACTTGATCATATTACCAATCTTCAGGACAAAAGTGAACTTCGACTCATTCTTCAGCAACACATGCAAGTATTTGATATTTCCAAAGCTACACAAGCAAAAACGCCTATTCCACATATTAGTAACACAGGTGATAGTCTTTCAACTAATTCACGACCGTATCCAAGAATCATCCAACAACAACGTGAGATTCAAGATGAAATCCAAAAGATGATGCAAACTAATCAAATTCGTCCTTCAAATTCACCTTGGTCTTCTCCAGTTATTATTCACAAAAAACAGATGGTAGTATTCCACTTTTAGGCGATTATCGAAAATTAAACTCTGTAATAAAAAAAGATTCTTTTCCGAAACCAACAACTGCAGAATTATTACATCAATTAGGCAATCATCGATTTTATACCAAATTAGGCCTTAAATCGGATTATTTTCACATACCTATACACGAAACAGATAAAAAAAACTGCATTCATTACACAAGACGATCTATGGAAATTCAATGCTCTTCCACTGGGTACACTCTAACCAAAAAAGATTCTTCCCGCGGGTATACGGGAAGAACCTTTTTTTGGTTTCGTAGAAAAAAGGTTTCGTATTAAACCTCTTCTGGACTGCTGCTAAAAAGGTTTGATAGGAGAGATTTCCCACAAAACCTTTTTACCGAATCGAAAATAAGGTTTCATACGAAGAGTTTCGTAATGACCTCTACATGAATACAGTTAGCCTTATCTACTTACCCCTGTACCTTTATTTCTATACTTACCCATATGCCTATACTTAACCGCTTATAACTATATGTAACTCCTTATACTTATATCTAACCCCTTATTTCTACACTTAGACCCTTATTCATATACTTAATTTCTATGCCTAAACTTTATTCCTATATTTAATCCCTTGTTCCTCTCCTTAACTCTTTATGACTATGTCTAAGTCGCTATATTTCTATTTAATCCGTTATACTTATATTTAATGCCTTATTTCTGCACTACAACTCTTATTCCTGTGCTTAACCCTTTATATTTATACTCGACCTATTATTTCTATATCTAAACCCTTATTCCTATACTTAACCCCTTAGAACTATATCTAATCCCTTGTTTGTATACCTAACTTGGTATTCTTATGCTTGAACCCTTATAACTACGTCTGATCCCTTACTTCTAACGAGGGAACATCCCCAACTGCCCAACACCGATCGAGCTCATATTTTGGCCATGAGTAGTTCTCAGTGAGACTAGGAAAACCCCAGAAGGATTCGTGCCCATGGCCTATTAGCCAAGAAATATGACCATTTTACTGAATTTCCAGCCTATCGGCAGGTATTCACCAGAAAGTCAAATTACAAGATTTCGATCTGAAATTTTGCCCAAAGATAGGCACAATAATCACTGAGATACCCTGAAAATTTCAGCTCAAACAAACGTTCCTCTGTCGAAATATTGAATTTTCAAAAATCAGTAATTTATCACATACTTGTCCCAAAAATCGAGTTTACGTGAAAATCCAATATTTCGACAAAGGAACGTTTGTTTGAGCTGAAATTTTCAGGGTATCTCAGTGATTATTGTGCCTATCTTTGGGCAAAATTTCAGATAGAAATCTTGTAATTTGACTTTCTGGTGAATACCTGCCGATAGCCTGGAAATTCAGTAAAATGGTCATAACTCTTGACTAATAGGCCATGGGCACGAATCCTTCTGGGGTTTTCCTAGTCTCACTGAGAACTACTCATGGCCAAAATATGAGCTTGATCGGCGTTGGGCACTTGGGGATGTTCCCTCGTTAGTGTTATATTAGAAAACCAATAGTATAAAAGTCAATTTTCGAAGTATAAGCTGAATTATAATATACTATATAGAAAAAAACTACTACGAAAAAGTATATTTGAAATATCAAAAATAAAAAAAGTTTGTAATGTTTCTTTTAAGCTTTCAACGATGATAACAATCAATGTTTATGTATAATATCACATAAATTAAATCTAAATTCTGATGATGTTCATCATTTAACAATTTTATCCAATGATAATTGTGATCGTTATTGTGAT